AACAACAACAACAACAACAAAATCCCACACTGCCATACAAAAGCTCGAAGACCGAAGCTTTCCTAGACCCTCCACCTACGCTATTTTGGACCCTGAATACAAAGGGGGTTTTAAGGGCTTAGGGGTTTTGGGCACATTATTTGGAACCCCTCTACCCTATGTGAGGGTGCACGGAGGGTCCTGCCTTAATCAACCCTAAACATTAACCCCTAAACCCCTAAAGCGCTTGCAAGGCACCTGAGGTGCGCCCGGAAGATCGGTGACGCCTTCGCCCCAGCCTCGGGGCCAGGAAGCACATCCACGGAGACCTGGCTAAGGCGGACTCTTCAAAGGAAGGGTTTAGGATTGAGGGCTTAGGCTTTCGGCGCTCACACTCGGACAATCCAGGCGAGGTGTGTGGTCTTAGGTCCTCACATCGGAAATGGGACGCAAAACAATAAACCCGTACTAAGGCTTAGGGGTGTATAGGGTTAAGGGGTACTCTTGAAAGGAGGGGTTCGGTGTTCTAGAGTTGAGGGTCTTAGGGCTTTTTCGTTGTCCAAGCGATAGACGTTCTTACCTTTTCCGGAGGTTGCAAACCAAGGCACCAACAACGGTCAGCCTAGTCTGGGACCACAACCCTAAACCCTAAACCCTAAAATCCTAATTATGCGAAGTCTGGACTCTAAGGATCCCTGTTTCGATGCCTTCAGTTGAAGGGTCCAGGGTATTGGCGGTCTATGTGGCAAGGTCCCTCATTGTCTGAAACTCCTTCCTGCGCCGACACACTGAAATCTTGCGGAATCACAGTCCAATCTCGAGGCACACTGCAAAGAAAACCGACGACCCACAACTCCTGAACCCAACAATCCAAAACAAAGAAACTCTAAACCTCAGAAACTGAAACCCTAGACCGCCCAAACCTACACGCCGCAACGACACGAGAGCCCATCGTATGCCTCATCAAAACCGTTTTCAAAAAGATGCGGAACCCCGACCACGAAGCCGAACCACTGAATTAAAGGAAACTACAGGTGGGGAGTTTAGGGTCTATAGGGCTTCTTATACAGCTTCTATAAGGTACATAGACCTTCTATAAGGCTCCTATAACGGTAACTACCCACCTGAAACTGTCCTAGACATGCCAAAAAGTAGGACCCTGATCATCATCAGATTCAGGGTTCAGGGTTAACCGTAAACTACCAAGAAACTACCAAACCCTACTTTTTTGTAGGTTCATATTATAAACCCTAACATGGCATTTTTATAGGGACCCTACAAGAAAAGTAGGCTTTGGGGTAGGTTAAGGGAGTTGCCCTCTTCATGCCCAGGATTTGCCTCCAAAGGGTCTGCCGAAGGGTCGGAGGCTTGGATCTGCCAACGATGCTGGAGATCCTTGGCCGTGGGACTTCAAGGATTCGGGCTAGGCTTTAGGGTTTAGGGTTTAGGCTTGAGGGCTAGGGGTTCGGGGGTTTAGGGTTAGAGAGGGTTTGGGGTTTAGGGGTTTAGGGTTTTAGGGTTTAGGGTTTTAGTGTACGCAGTGTCACACAAACACACATATATATATATATACATACATACATACATACATACACACACACATATATATATATAGAGACATAAAGATGTGTAGCTATGGTGGGTGGGTTTCTCTGTGTGTGTGTGTTGTAGAGTTCAGGGCCTTGGGACTGAGGGTTTCAGAGTTTTAAGATTTCATGTAAGGGGCCGTACTAATTAGAATAGGGTTCCTTTAAAGGGTTCCTTAAAAGGGATACTATAAGGGTTACCATAAGGGTTCTATAATGTAGGGGCCTTAATCATTAGAATAGGGTTTTGGGGTCTTTTGTAGACAGGCTATATTACATGTTTAAACCTGCCCTTAACATAGGGGCCTTAATCATTGGAATAGGGTTTTGCGCTCCTTTGTCAATAATGTTTACGGTTTAGGATGTGGAAGGTTACAGTTTATACGGGGTATTCTTCGAGCTTGGTCCATGCATGGGTTGAAGTGCTCTGTACGGGGATCTAGCAGTTCGGAGTCCGGGGCGATGGGGTTGAAGGCCCAGGATAAAGGCTGGTGTGCACGAAGGGTCTGTATCTTTAGTTGGCTCCCAGAGTGACTTGAAACATCTTCAAGCAATTTCTTGGCGCATCGCTCTTCCTGACTGTCTCGGAGGACGTCCTTTGTGAACTTTCACGAAACCTTGCTATCTCGGAGAGGCAGCAACCCAATAGCAGTGACAGGCGAGGCACGTATTAGCCGCTAAGTTCACGAACAAAATTCACAGCAATTGAGGCAACGAGCATATGAGTGAAGCAGAACGGCTGTATCGTGGATATATTGGAGATAAACTCGACCACGTGCTAGCCAAAACCCCAACTGCCGGATGCACAAGTGACTCCGTGCATTGACCTTAATACCTGAAACCGCTCTCAATCATCAAGGCCTTGTCAAGCTCAAACCAAGCACCCATGACCGTCCGAACACACCGGAAGAGCATCGCCCATTCAGCATGATGATGACATCGACCATCACAGACTTAACCTGAAAGCCCAAAGCTGAAACCGAATATCCTGAAACAATAACTTAGGGGCTGAGTACCCTAGCCCAAAAAAGGTTAACCTTTTGAATTATAGTAGGATTATATAAGCCCCAACAGGTTAAAGGTTACCTACTCAGCCCCTGGGATAAACGTCGAGCCCTAATAGCCAAGTTTCTTAAATTCGTATTCAGGCCCCAACTTTCAGCAACAGCAAAGAGGCCATCAGGGGGGACACGTGCAACGGCTTTGGCAGCTCCGCGCCCGTGCGGTCGAAAGCAAAGAAGACATGGTGGTTCCAAGGCGTGTTGGTGACCTCTCCACAGGTCGAAAGCGCAGGAGGTTCAGGATCCGAGGCTTTGGGCTGGTATTTTGGGGATTGACGTCAGTGACGTTTCGGAATCAGGGCTTCCGGTAGATACTGTAGGGCCTGGAGGGGTTCCAAAATGAGATCATACAAAGCTCGCGGCCTCCGGCACGTTGAGGACTGCGACAATTAAGGCATGTGGTTTGTAGGTTGGCTGTCTTGGGGTTTGGAGTGGTGCTTCTGTTGATGTTTTAAATCTGCATGACAAGGGCCGTAAACTATGGGAATTATGGTGTAGTCCTTATTATGGGTATTGCAGGATTTATATCATCAACCGTTCCGTTGACTTGGTGGGCCGGGTTTGAGGCGCGACACTTTGAAGCTTGGAGTTTACTGGCTTTCAGGCCTGCATGAAAGAATTAGGGTTTAGGGTTTAGGGTTTGGGGAGTTTAGGGTTACGCGTGCTAATTTGACACGGCGCGCTGTCTCGGAATTACATATACATGCTGGGAGAAGCACCTGCCTAGACTTGTTGGTATGTTGAAAGTAGGGGTTCACGTAAGGTGCGGATTGCTAGGTTTCAGGCTCCTTCTTGAGGCACATGAACGACTTGCAGCAATCGATGTGTTTTCGAATCAAAGGGTCTGAGACGCGGCTCCGAAACTCAAAGGGTCAGCTGGGTTGAAGCAGCCGCGCCTCACAAATGCCTTGGCCCTGCGCGGTCTTGTTGTCGCAGAAATAGATCTGAATGGGATTCTGGTGGTACCTGGCATGGTCTTAACTTTCCTAGCGGTCCTCTTTCCCGACACTAAACGGAACTATCTGACAGGCCAAAATAAAGCTCCCCTGATGCGAGGAAACATCTTGCTTGGTGAGCTGAGCACGCACCCCTGAACATGAACCCTAAACGCTGGCTTAGACCGCTTGGCTGTAATTTTCTGTGGTCGGACAGCGCCTTAACCTCGTAGAAACGTGAATCCGACATACCCAACTCCAGACCCAGAGGGAAGTAAATCCCGAACCCTGGGCCGAAAATTTGAAACGCGACCTTGCAACGGTTTAGGGTTTAGGGTGTAGGGCTTAGGGTTTAGGTTTAGGGTTTCCCAAGCCTAAATCCCCACACGATTGCATCCTGAGGGCCTTCAGAAATTACGATCCAAAACCGGCAGCCTCGTGCACTGAACTGCAAACTGATGAGCTCGAATTGTCCGGGCTTCCCACCCGGCACTGCTCGGTGTAGTCAGCACCCTGACGCCTGAGCTGTGAAAGCACTCGGGATATGTAGCGGGGTTCAAGGTCCAGGCCCGGATCGCAAACTCTAAACCCTAAATCCTAAATCCTAAACCCTAAGCCCAAAATCCTAAACCCTAAATCCTAAACCCCAAATCCTAAATCCTAAACCCTAAATCCTAAACCCTAAACCCTAAACCCTAAACCCTAATCCCTAAACCCTAAATCCCCAAACCCTAAACCCAAATATGGAACCTGGAGCAGCCGAAGGTTTCGGACGCAGTGCCCCGTGATATCTCCAGCCCCTACTCTTCCGACAGCAGCTGAAGATTACGGCCCCAAACCTTATAATGTAAGGTTTGGGGCTTAGGGTGTAGGGCTTAGAGTTTAGG